TGATAGAAATGGTGTTGATAACATTTCAGCAACTAATTGAAATGACTGAATTACTTTTTTTACTGGTTATGAAACAGTCTTAATTTTATACTGATGCCTCTATATGACCTACATAAGTAAAAAAAGACCATCAGAGAGAAGATGGTCTATTTCTATAGAGTTATTCTTAATGCTCGTCGTCGGTGCCACCGGGTCGGATTCTGGTGAAACCAGATGAAATCAGGCAGGTTCACCAGAAACCTCTTCAGCTCAGACTCCAGCGGGGCCTCCAGCAGAGGCAGACCCAGATCCGGCTTCCGGATGGTGGTTGGATGATGTTGCCACTGTGGAGAGCAGAGATCTGTGGCAAGAAAGTATTACATGTTGCTATCAGGGAGCTACCATGTCGCTCACCCCTTTGTGAAGGCTCATTTCCCCTCAGCATCATCCAGAAGCCAACAAATAGCCAGAAAACATGGAGATAGCTGCGGGGAACCAGAGTCTATGCCACTGCCATTAAATAAAGTGAGAGCGAAGTTGAGAAAAGAGACACCAATTAGCTTGAAGAGCTGCATTCGAGTCCCACGTGGTGGTAAGTGTGGAGCTCAATATCCACCTTGGTGATGATGCTTTGTGAAGACGGAGCTGCCTGTAAGAGTCAGGTCTGGTGTCTGTGGAGCTAAATGACACTCAGCGGAAGGTGGAGCAAGTAGAGATTTTCAAACTTGAACAAAATGAAAGGACCGTTTGATGTCTGTCCTAAAAAACACACAGAACAGGATTTTTGTGTTGCAGCATAAACAAAACCGTTTACTGATACTGATCCTAGGAGGAGCCGTATCAGATATACAGAGCTGTGATGGAGAACAAGCTCTCCTCAGTAATAGTGGGGGATGCCATCATGTCACTGTTGAAAATGAAGGTAGGTTCGGTGTCGTGTTTTTCTCTCTGCACACCAGGTTGTCTTCAGGTTTCCAACAATTTACATTTGTATTTCTGGACTCTGAAGAGTTGAACTTAATGTATAAATCACGGCAACTGAGCTAGAAGTGTCTCACTTTCCAAAGTGTGATTTCCTCCCTGTGTTTCTTTCTGAACTGGAGTTTACTTCATCTCAGCGTGGCTGAACTGAGTCTCATCAGCTCTACTTTCTTTATGTTTTACTTTTAGACCATGATGTTTTTACTCAAACTAACTGAGTGGTCTTGTTGCCTAAACATAAATGCAGCCTTTCACAGTAATGGCACGGTGTAAAATTACATGCCATACTCATACTCCTTCCCATGAGATCAGGTTGGTGTGTCCGTGTTCCTCTCCTGAAGAAAGATAATGGCATTTAATTAACACTCACTCAGGGAGGGAACAACATCCCCCTGCAGAGTCCCATTGAACCTCTCATCACTAAGACAGCACACGAGCAACAGTTATGCAGCAGTGTTTTATCTTTCAAAGATAAACGCTGGAGTTAATGATGGAAATACGCTTACAAATTGGAAGACTTTTTGGCAGTCAAAGGTAATAAATAATCATTCAACTGGTCTTCTGAGAAAACATGCCTGAGGCTGGTCCAAATAAAACTAGATCATAAGTACCAACATTAGTCCACGAGTGAGATGATTTTATGTGACAAACCTCAACAAGGTGCCTTCAAACGTTGCAGTTAAACGGTGCTGTGGTTTCTTCTCAAATACGTCAAATCTCCGGTTACCGGTTCTTCTCAAATCTGATTGAACCAGAAACTTTTCCTCTGCTAATCTATTTGTGAAACTAAGTCTCCTCTGCTGTCTCTTCTCATTTGTTGCAGTGTTTCTGAATTATGCGCATGAACATGAAACAATGAACAAACTTCTTAAATGTAAAATATGAAAGTTTCTGATAGTTATTTGTTTTATTAATTTCAACCTTTATTTTCCAGGTTAATCCAGTTGAGATTATGGATCTCTTTTAGGATGGGGGTCCTGGTCAAGACGCCAGCCTCAAACCACCATTGGACTTCTTTTTTGCAACCGGAGGAGTCGCCCCCTGCTGGTCAGTGGAGAGAATGCAGGTTTAAGGCATTTAACAGCTGGAGGCCAAGGGACAATATTTTGGTATCGGAAGCATTCTGTTTAGTATTGACGAATCCCGTTGGAGACTGCTTTGTTTAAATGCAGGTAAACAGTCTGTGTGGAGAGCAAAATAACACATTGGCCAAAATTGTCGTCTAACGATGATTTAGCTCTTTATTGATTTAAAATCAGCTTGAAAACTGGGAACTTGGGAAACAATCTGGACGTACACGTTGTATCTGAACTACGACTCCAGTCTCGCATGTCAAGCTGCTAATGGGACTGTTTGTCAGTGTGCAACAAACAGAGGTACCTCTTCTGCTTGCTGCCTCTGCAGGTCCAGAATATAAGACAAAATAAAACTTTATGTATACCTTGGGAAACTGCTGTGCAGCAGTTGCAATACAAAGTGGGAAGAGTGCAAATATAAATGTTTTATGGATATGTTAACTCCCGATTATAAATGCCCCATGTGGCAGGAGTCATGGGGTCAGCAAAGCAGCCGAGGGCTCTCATGTCCGCACGGCATGCGCGTTGGAAGATGATTTGAGCTGTGGAGGCCGGCTCGCCGTCGGCATGTTGAAAGCGAATGAGAGGCAATCGATATGGCCAACAGGGAGATGGAAGAAAATCAAAGAATATCTTTTATTTTTTGTATTTGTTATCATTAGCTGGAAGCTAATTCTTTCTCTGTAGTTAAGATGTCATGTTCGTATGTCATCTCTGGCATTTTTGCAGATCAGTTTGAGGTCCTTGTATGATCACCCAAGGGTGAATTGTTTTGCCATTTACTGTTTTCACTCGTACCTTGTTTTGGGAAATAATGGAAGAAGGAAGCAAGGATTGTTTTCTGCAATTTTCTTGTTTTTAAGAAATCCATTTCTGCACTTATGTAACTCCAAACTGACTCCAGTGTTGAATTGACGCCTCCAGCCCCCCAGGAGGCATGGGGCTCCAAACTGGCCCCAATGCTGGGCGTGTTTTGACCCTCAGGGCCACCGTACTTATTTCCTCAAAGCTATCTTTCATAAAAGACTTTGCTATCTAAAAGGTGGGATTGCGAATCTCAAGGTTGCTTGTCCAAATTACAGCAATTAGGAAAATGTTTTGCCCTTTTCCTCTGCTGCTGCCCTTCTGCGTGACATTTATATTACAGAGTGTCATGTAGGCGTCAGCAGCCATATGCAGCCTCATTATACTGCATGCACACTTTTTTCAAAAGGCGAACGTGTTGAGATTGAGTGCCTCATATCGACCCGTCTCCTGCATTTAAACTGACTTCAGCAGCTCATTAAGATTCTGTCTTGATAAAATCCACACGCTGGTGATAGTACACATGTGCAGAATCTGTAAGAGTGTCATATTTTTCTTGCCAAAAGGTAATTTCTTCAATCTCTGAAAAAAAAAAGAAACATTACAGCTGTGCTTTCTGTTCATATTCTGATCCTAATGGACACTTATTCTTGTATTAGACCGTACAGTTTGAGCATGTTTGACAATTGCATCACAGAGAGACCGATTCATTAATTAGCAAATGGGAAACACTGAAAGTAAAAGTGACATACAGCTAATCCACCGACCCACCTGTTTAGTTGTACAACACAAATCACTGGCAGGGGAACACAACACTGTTGGTTGAACTTTAGAGTGAATTATTGCGTTTCAGTGTTTTCCCCCATTTTCCAGTTTATATTTGGTTTGGCTTTTGCGCACAACACTAAACAAACTATTGAATGGATGAATGCATGAATGACTCACACAGTAAATCGTCACTTTCTGCTTGCAGGCATTAAACTAGAGTTATAAGTTCTTGATCTCTATTTAAAAAAAACAAAAAAACTGAACATTTTAATCACAAAGTGCCATGATGTTAAGGTATAGCTAAATTAATCACAGCGTTGTGGCCTTTACCTGTTAATAGATCATTTGAACTTTTGGCTTCTGGGAGCTATTTTGTCCTTTATCAGAATATTGTGTTTATATTGCAGGCTAGACAGTCTTTCAGCAGTGTTGCTGCTGGGGTGTAAAATGGGCAGTTTCTGCCATCTGCAGGACAAACAGGAAGACACAAAACAACCAGATGAGGGACATTTGAAAAGGGAGAAGTTTGCCGAGCAGAAATCTCAATCATGTTTTGGGATAAAATAAATATCCTTACTGGCAGTAAGCTCTGAAGGCAAACTTCTCCCGTGTTCCCGTGTTTCACCCCCAAATATTCAATCATTCTAGAGACAAGACATCACAACTGAAACAAATAAAAAGGTTTTTCGCTCAAACACAACTTGACACACGGACAGTATAAGAGCCGGGGATCGAACCGCATATCTTGTGGTTGAAAGATGACCCTCTACTTCACTTTAGTATTAACAATTCTGCTAACTTTATACTTTTCCCACACTACATTTCAGAGGGAAACTTTTAACTTTTTAAATTTATTTGACACTTATATTTACTAATTACATGAAAAGATATACAATGTGCTTTTTATATGATGCAGTATTTTACAAGTAATCTAGTCTACAGTTTTCAAAATATCTTAAATTGGGTTGACAACGTTAAAATACTCTGACATGTTATTTGTTAGTGATAAAAACTAAATAACATAATATTCGATAATAATGTAACACAGTCAAATAATCCTTTAAATATAAAATATAAGTAACTATGAAACATACTGTGCATACATTTATCTTAGCTCCACAATTACCAGCTGCAATTTTGATCATAATCCAGTAATAGCTCAAATCTAGCCTACAATATTATGTAATGGGTCATACTGTATAATGAGTACTTTTACTTTTGAAACTTGAAGTACATTTTGCATATAATACCTCTGTACTTTTACTTAAGTGAAGGTATTTCCTCCACTTCTGCGCATGGCATCTATTTCGAGGAAGGACGTGATGGGTGCACTGTCCCTTTAAGACTTTCTCTCTCGCGCGCTTTTTGGACTCTATCGCTTTCCGTCGTTTCAGCAAACACTTGCGCTAGCGTACTTGTGTGTTGTGCAGAGGAACTGGTTCACATCGAAAAGGTTTAACGTGGACTAAGTCAACGTCTCAGAATGTCTGGAGGGACCACACTGGAGAACGCGAACCCTGTGGTGTTCCAGCGGTCCGGTGACAGGCTGCTGACATCGAACGAGGAGGACGAGGACGTCCATGACCCCATCGACGAGAGGGAAATATTCGATATCCTGTTTTCAATTTAAGCTAACGTTAGCAATGCTACATGACGTCAGACCGGTGTCACACCTGACACCGGTCACGTGTGTGCTTGTTAACCTTCTTTTTAACTTTATTTTATAACATTAGCTACTAACGTTAGGTGTTGCATAACCTGGAATATTATACGTTTATATTATCTATATACATATAACATTATAATAATGATGATAATAATATAAATATAATAATATATACAGTATATGATAATAATATAAATGTAATAATAATATAATAATATAAATATTATAGTTATAATAATATATACAGTGTATATATACAGTATATGATAATAATATAAATGTAATAATATAATAATCATAATAATATAAATATAATAATATATATTTGATATTATATTAAACATATAAGTTACCTTAAAAAGTGCTGTAACTGTGGTGGAAATAGTACTTAGACGTTTATTACAAATACACAAATATACAGACAGTGTTTGGATCAATGCTAAAACAAATATAACTACATATGCAATCAAAAGAGTGACAAACATTTCACTCATTTCAATTATATTTTGCTCTTAATTACTTTGTGCTTTTAGGTTATTTACAGTAATGGTACAGTTGCATCACTTTCTTTTTACAAACAAAGCATTGTAATAGTTTTAATGTTGCCTATAATGCACAGTAATAATAATAACAGCATTACGTGTGCAGCACATAGAGGCAGAGGTGTTGTTTTCATTGTGTCGTCTTAAACTCTTTAACTAAAGTTACATCTGATCAGATCCATCAGCGACCCGGAGCATCCTCTGTCTCTGGAGGAGCTCAATGTGGTGGAGCAGGTCCGCGTCAAGGTACAAACCTGTCATCATGTGTTTTGTTTGGGGGGGTTTAGGTTTTATTTACTACAAGGTGAATAGGGGGGGGGGGGGGGTTCTGTAATTGATTTACCAATATTCAAATTAAGTGAAGACAAAGTTAAAACAACCCTGAACTTGACCACCATTCATCTCTTTACTACATCATATTGTTCTTTTAAATATCACATTTCAAGTTAACTAACGTTCACCCTCCAGCCTTCATCATCAACGTAAACATTTACTTGAACTCTGTGTCTTCTGTGATTGTTGTGGTGCTGAAAACATCTGTCCCACTGCACAAACATTCATAACTAGCAATGGAAATCTCATTCCGTGTGTTGTTCATTTAGTCCGTTTCTATGAGATTGTCCTTTTTCCTCAGGTCAGTGACGCAGAGAGCATCGTGGGCATCGAGTTCACACCTACAATCCCCCACTGCAGCATGGCAACACTCATTGGTCTGTCAATCAAAGTCAAGCTGCTACGCTCCCTGCCAGACAGGTTCAAAGTATGTGTGTGTGTGTGTTGGTAACATGGATGCACATTTAGTTACTTAATATAAAGAACATATAATGTGGGATAAGTGTCGTTAGTGTTTTGTTCTTCTCCAGTCTAAACACGGTGTGTTTCTCTATTTCTTCTCAGATTGATGTCCACATCACTCCCGGGACTCACGCCTCAGAGGAAGCAGGTGAATATGATACAGAGACCGCAGTCATGGTGCATGATCCACTAGTCATAGCACCTTTTCTAACACGGTGTTTATGTTGTGCAGTGAACAAACAGCTGGCGGACAAAGAGAGAGTTGCAGCGGCTCTGGAGAACTCGTCGCTGCTGGAGGTGGTCAACCAGTGCCTGACCCCCACCAGGAGCATCTGAGCGGCCAATCGGCTTTGACGTCTTCTGCTATCAGCCACCGATCAGCCAATCATGTTTGACTCTTGTCTTTGACATCTGAGATGTGTCGGCCATGCTCTCTACCCCCCCCCCAATCATCAATCCAGGTGTGAACAGCTGCAACTGGTGGACACTGATGCAACAAAAACCATCTCCGCACCTAAAGAGATTAATAGAAGTTAATAATCTTCATGCAGAATAGTTTGGACAGAGCGGTTACATTTCACTTCCATCTGGGAATTTGAAATGAAGAAGCTGCCTGTCAGGTCATTCAGCGTGATTCCTGTTTTATGTTATTAAATCTGTATTCTAACACATGCAATTCATCATTTTTTGCAATCCCCATCTGTATATAATATTGATGCTTTTGACATTTTAATAAAAATGGAAATTTAAATAAAACGTGATGATATGTTCTCGGTATTTTTCTTAGGTGATACAAAGATATGTATATATTTATATGTATACATATATTTATGTATTTTATTTTTGTAATATTAAAATAAAATATAACTTATTTATCTGTGTGTAGGCCAGGAGCTGTTTTCAGGGAAATCCAATTTAATTTGTGATATAAAGTTCAATGTCATGCGGTCCAGTAAGTCCTGTCAGAGAGGGCTTGACTCAGCTATATGTGTATTCTTGAGGCCCGTATGGTGGTGGTGCTGTGATATATCAAACATCACCACCCAAGATCGGTTTAGTTCAACAGCAGCGTTGACTGTCCTGAACTCTCCACGCAATACAACATTTTCATGTCCGTGTTCATCCAGCAGGAGGCGTCCTTATTCTCTTCCTGCACATCCAGTGCAGGAGGCTGAAGATGAGAAGCCTCTGTGCTGTGGCTCGTTGTGCCAGATTGCCTCCTCAGATCTGAAGGACAGAGTCGTCCAACATGCTTGTCCACCCACTCGCACCTCACTGAGCAGCTGTGCTTTAATTCTTACTCAACCAGACGAGCTCACTCAGATCTCACACAAATAGGAAAACTAATACGGCTTCAAATCTCTATTCATCAGATAACATGGCACGTGAAGTCATACAAGTGTAAGGAGAGAGTAAATGGTCATTCTCTAAAATGTCACCTTTAATAAATGTTTCCCCTATTGGGTTTAGGGTTTGGACTTAAATTTCTGCAACAATAGATATGATTTTAATAGTATGATAAGCTCACAGAGAACACACTATCATACATTTATTGTGTAGCCTTTATTGTAGGAAATAGAATACAAGACTTTGCAAAAATGGTTATGTAATCCCATTTTTAATCTTGACTCCCAGAGAGATATTTATTGCCACTCTGTGAGTGATTGTTGGCAGGCATACAGTTGTGTGAAAAAGTGTTTGCCCCCTTCCCGATTTCTTATTTCTTTGCATGTTTGTCACACTTAAATGTTTCAGATCATCAAACAAATTTAAATATTAGACAAAGATAACAAGTAAACACAAAATGCAGTTTTTAAATGAAGGTTTTTATTATTAAG